TTTGGGGTGGCGGTTGCGATGGAGAGTGCGCAGCTGTCTCTTTATCTGTCTCTTCTCTTGTCTCTTTGTTTCTTATCTTTCTGTCTCTTTATCTCTGTCTTTTTATCTGCTTGTCTCCCTATCTGTCTCTTTATTTGCCTGTCTCTTTTCTCCGTCTCTTTGTATATATGTATATATATACATATATATGCATATATATAAATGCATATATATATATATATATATATATGCATATATATATATATATATGCCTCCTGTCCCTTATTCTGTCTCTTTGTTTGCTTGTCTCTTTATCTCTCCCTCTCTCTCTATATATATTTATTTATATTTCTATATAAATATAAATATAATATATATATATATATATATATATATATTTTGCGTCTCCTTAGCTGTCTCTTTATTTGCTGCTCTGTCTTTGTTTATTTCTGCTTCGCTTAGTCTTTGTGTTTATTTGTTTATTTATGTGGTAGTTGTATTATTTTATTATAATTATATATATATATATTTTAATATTGTCTTATATATCATTATATATAATATCTATTATTATCATTGTATATACTTCATAAGCTATATATATTGTATATAATATATATTTTTATATATTATATTTATTTATATATATTATATATATTATATATTATATTCTTTATATTATTTTACTGTCTTGCCTCTCTCTCTCTGTCTCTTTTTGTCTCTGTGCCGTCTCCTCTCACTTCTTTTCCTCCCCTTACCTTAGGGCAGCAGCAGCAGCAGCAGCAGCAGCAGCAGCAGCAGCAGCAGCAGCAGCAGCAGCAGCAACAGCAGCAGCAGTGTGTATTTGTGTTGTTTGCTGCAGAAGTTCATTATGGGTTAATCCAGGTGATGCCTCTGCTGTCTTTGCAAACTTTCTTGCCGAGTGAAGAAGAAAACAAAGTAGTGAAAACAGGAGCTGCCTGTACACCTGAAAGCAGCAGCAGCAGCAGCAGCAGAGTGAAAGCAGCAACAGCAAGGACAGGGAGACACTCGGGGCTGTCTACGTTTCCTCTTTCTGCTCTTGAACGCAATGCAGACGAACTGCAATTGACGCGGAAGCAAGCTGCAGCACTTGCTTCTGCTGCTGCTGACCCAGCTGCTGCAGCAGACGCAGCAGCAGAGGCAGCAGCAACAGCAGCAGAGACCGAAGCCAATGCAGCAGCAGACACAGCCTTCCTGGAGGAGTTTCCTTCTCCTCCTTTATCACGCCACATGGTACACCCGAAGCCAGCAGCAGCAGCAGCAGCAGCAGCAGCAGAACAATCATCATCATCATCAGCAGCAGCAGGAGGAAGAGGAATGAAAGGCGCAGCAGCAGCAAGAGCATCATCAGCAGCAGCAGCAAATCGTAAAGTACATTTGCTGCTGACGATTCATGGACACAGAGGCTCTTGGACAGCCTTCTTTCCTTTGCTAGAAACTCTAACAATCGGCAGCAGCTGGGGAGGAGGTAAGCTGTACAGACACCCGAAGCATCCGCTGCCTCTGCCTCCTGAAGTGCAGCCGCAAACAGAGAGCCCCAGCAGATGGCATTCATATTCTCTTGACTTCAATGAAGAAGCAACGGCTCTCCACCCTGTCCTCATTGATCAGCAGGTACGCACCTTCTGCTGCTGCTGCTGCTGCTGCTGTTGCTGCTGCTGTTGCATGCGTTGCTGCTGCTGCTGCGGAGGAGGAAGAAGAGAGGGAACGGGGGCTGATTGTTGAGGTCCTGGTGCTTCTTGAGGCAGTGCTGATGCTGCAGGTTGAACTGCTGCTGCTGCTGCTCGTTCCGATGGTGCTGCTTCTGCTGCTGCTGCTGCTGCTGTTCTCGCCGCTGCTGCTGCTGCAACTAGAGTATCAGCATTGACGTTGCTGCTGCACCCGTTGTTGGTGTATCTGGCTTTTGCATTTTTGTTGGTGTGTAGACAGAATGCGAAAGCAGGCGGGAGCGCTGCTGCTGCTGCTGCTGCTGCTGCTGCTGCTGCATTCGTTGTTGCTGCTGCTGCTGCTGGTATGCGTTTCAGGCGGAGTTTATTTTGCTGGCGCTGCAGCACCTTCTAGACAAGTACAAAGAGCAAGGAGAGGAAGTAGAGCATGCAGCACTTGTAGCACATTCTTTGGGGGGCTTGTCTCTGCTGCGTGCAGTGTCGCTGCAGCAGCACAGCGGCCGGGCGTCTCCTCCTGTAGATCTGCAGCAGCTGTCTCTTCTGTCTCTTTTCTTTATTAATTCGCCTGTCAGCGGCCACCAACTTGTGCAGCAACTCCCTAGCTTTCACTGGATGTACAGCCAAGTGCATGCAGACCTTGCGCAGGTTATGGGGCTTTCCCGCAGCAGCAGCAGCAGCAGCCAGCAGGAGCAGCAGCAGCTGCTGCAGCAGCAGCAGGCGTTGCTGCTCCCCCGCACTGTAGGCATCTTCACTGTCTCCTCAGGAGCTCAAGACATTTTGGTGCAGGAGTCAGTTGCAGGCTTCCCGGAGGAGACACCTGAACTGTCTCCTCACTTCTATGTAGATATGGCGAAGCTTAAAATAGCTGGCAGCAAACTCACAGCTCTCAGCAGACAACTGCAGCAGCAGCAGCAGCAGCTGCAGCAGCAGCAGCAGCAGCAGCAGCAGAAACGGCAGCAGCAGGAGGAAGAAGAACAGGACACTGCCTCTGGCAGCCGCACAAGCTCCACCAGCCACAGCAGCAATAGCAGCAGCAGCAGCAGCAACAGCAGCAGCAACAGCAACAGCAGCAGCAGCGGCGCAGCGTCAGAGTGCCTAGGGTTGTCTGGTGCTTCTCGCTGCGGTTTATTATCAAGACATATATATTATACTAGGGTGTCTCTTCCCCTTAGTTCGGGTGTACATGCATCTTCTTGTCATGAGTGCCCTCTGCTGTCTCCATCAGAAATGAAAATCTTTGTGCAGCTGCTGCAGGCCCAGGTAGCTCTAGCGCAGCAACTAGCACCTGCTGCTGCTGCTGTCCGCTCCTTCCTCCAGCAGCAGCAACAGCCGCAGCAAGAGCAGCAAGAGCAGGGTCAGCTGCATCGCCAGGCGCGGGTGCAGCAGGAGCTGCAGCAGCAGACAGAGGAGCAGCAGTTGGCGTTGCAGTTGCAGCAGCAGCAGCAGCAGGTGCAGCAGCAGCAGCAGCAGGTGGAGCAGCAGCTCAAGGCCGTGAATGCTGCCTTGGCTTCAGGAGACACGGTGCTGCGGTTTCTGCGTCTCCGTGTGTCTCCTTTGCTGCTGTCTACTTTTCTGCTGCTGCACCCTGCGTGGCAGCTGACGGAGCAGCAAGACATTTTGTCTCTGATCCTTGCTGCAGTCGATACAGAGGTGCAGCAGCGGCTGCTGTCTCCTTTTTATGCTGCTGCAGCAGCAGCAGCGGGCAGTGGGGCCCCAGCGAGCCTAAGCAGCTCCTCACCTAAAGCTCTTGCTGCGCTGCTCCGAGGCGGCAACTGCAGCAGCTGCAGCAGCAAAGAGATATGCCTCCACCCCAGAGACATGCTGTCAATCCTGTTTCACAGACACAAGAGAGCAGCATCAGCATCAGCAGCAGCAGCAGCTTCGTCTGAGGAGGAGGAAGAGGAGGAGCTTTGCTGGGCAGCAGCAGCAGAATTGCTGCTGCTGCCGCAGCGCGTGCGTCTAGCCTTGCCGCAGCTGCAGCAGCACGTGCTGCGCTTTAAGTATGGGTTACCTGCGGAAGAAGACACGACGGAAGTAGCAGCAGCAGCAGCAGCAACCGCAGCAGCAGCACCAGCAGGCATGGGCCCAGAGCTGCTTCTCCCCAACTTCCTTATTCAGGCCAAGCTGCTGTCTATGCTTCCGGTGTCTCCTGAGAGGCTGCTGCTGCTGCCGCTCGAAACGCAAAGGTTGTTGCATGAGGCCCTTCTCGGCGCAGCCTGCTGCAGCTGCAGCAGCAGCAGCAGCAGCAGCAGCAAGAGCTGCTGCGGAGCGGGGGATACTTGCCTGGAGGAGGCTTTAAGGGAGGGTCGTAGCAGATCTTGGGGCCCCTTCACGGTCTACCCTATCAGCTTGCAGCCTTTGCAGCTGCAGGAGACGGCAGGGCAGGCAGCAGCAGCAGCAACAGCAGCAGCAGCAGCAGCAGATTGGCCTTTGCTGCGCAAGGGACGCCCTCCCCCTTTGCCGCTGCTCACGCTGCAGCCCCGTACATTTGCTGCCTCCAGCCGCACATTTTTTGCAGATTTCTTTGATGGGAGGAGCTCTCGACCGTGCGACTTGCGGGCGTTGACGCTGCAGCAGCAGCAGCAGCGGCAGCAGCAGCAGCAGCAGCAGCAGCAAGTAAACGCAAAACAACAGCACCTGCATGCAGCGCTTCTCAGACATATTGCTGCCGCTGCTGCAGCCAGAGCAGCAGCAAGCGGTAGCAGTCAGAGCAACAATACAGATGAGGCAGCAGCAGCTGCTGCAGCAGAGCATGCTGCTGCTGCTGCTGCTGCTGCAACGGCTGCTGAGGCGCTTACTATTGGCAGGCTTAGCGAGTTCCTGCCTAGGGGGCTGCTGCTGCTTGCAGTGGAGCATCCAGCAGCAAACCGTCTCTCTCTTATGAAGCAAAGGAAGCAGCAGCTAGCAAGCCTCCCTCTTCTTGACGGTGCAGCTGCTGCAGCACCTGCTGCGGCTACTGCTGCTGCTGCTGCTGCTGCTGATTTCGGAATGGACGAGTGCAACCACCCCGAGCTTTTGCAGCGGGTTGTGCGCAAGATTGAGGCAGGCGCACCTGCAGCAGTAGCAGCAGCGGCAGCAGCAGCAGCAGAAGCAGCAGCAGCATCACGGACAGCAGCAGCAGCAGCAAGCGAAGTGGGGGGCCGGCGCTTTTGCTTCTATGCGCTGCAGCCAGACATTCAAACGGGATATCCTTTGCGCAGCTGCGGCTGGACGTTTAACGGTGGAGGTGCAGTGCTGGCCACTCTTGCTGCAGCGCAGCAGCAGCAGCAGCAGCAGCAGCAGCAGCAGGATTGGGAGCCCCGTGCCTTCTTACTGGGAGTTGATGTTGGCTACCTGGGGTCCCTCGACGTCCCCCCCGAGGACAACGGATTCGCTGTATGGGCTGCTGCTTCCGAGCAGCAGCAGCAGCAGCAGGAACAGCAGCAGCAGCAGGAACAGCAGGAGCAGCAGCAGCAGCAGCAGCACCATCAATATGTTGTGGGGGACCCTTTGGCGGGCCCCGTAATGCAGTTTGACAATGAGTGGTTTGAATGGGTAGCTAAGAAGTGTCTCCTTTTGCGTGTTGCGCTGTCTCTTTTTCTTCCTTTGCGCGCGAGGCTGCCAGCCTTCTCTCACCCTCTCTCCAGCAGCAGCAGCAGCAGCAGCAGCAGCAGCAGCAGTAATAGTAGTAGTGGGGTGGCCGGCGCTGCTGCAGCAGCAGCAGCTGCTGCTGCTGCTGCAGGGAAGCTTGGAGTGCCTCGGCCCTTCTGGCTGCCGTTCAGTGAACGGTGGGGGCACTTCATGCCTTACGACCTCAGCGTACACCTCAGGCTTCCGCAGCAGCAGCAAACTGAAACTAGCAGCAGCAGCAGCAGCAGCAACAGCAGCAGCAGCAGGGGTAGTTCGGAGCCTTTGTGGCTGCCTACGTTTGCTGCTCCCGAGTTCGTGTGGCTGCTTGCCTGGCCTTCAACCTCAGCTGGGGGTTTGTCTCTTAGTCGCGTGTCAGTGAATAAGGGAGCCCTGTTTGCTGCTGCAGCACGTGCTGCAGCAGTGCAGCGAGCTGCAGCAAACGCTTTGGCTGCTTCTGCTGAGGCGGATGCTGCTACTGCTGCTGCTGCTGCTGCTGTTGCTGCTGCTGAGGCGGATGCTGCTGCTGCTGTTCAGGCGGATGATGCTGCTGCTGCTATTACTGCTTCTGAGGCGGATACTGCTGCTGCTGCAGCAGGCCTCCCTTCGGGGCTGACGTTGCTGCAGCAGCTGCTTCGTACGCCGCCTAGCAGCTCTACCATTGTCCAGGGGTTGCTTGCTGCTGGAGAGGCACACGGCCCGTTTAAGCAGCAGCAGCAGCAGCCGCAGAAGCAGCAGCAGCAGCGGCGGCGGCGGCGGCGGAAGCAGCAGCACGACTCCGCACTAACACGTTTTTTTGCTCTTAGAGACGTAGAGAGCTCCAGCAGCATAATGGCGTTGAGGCGCCCGGCTCCTGCTGCTGCTGTTGCTGCTTCGCTTCCTGCTGCTGCTCTGCTCCGCCGCACTCCCTCTAGGCTGTACAGACAACACCTGCTGCCTCTGCAGCTGCCAAGGACAGCAACAGCAGCAGCAGAAGCAGCAGGGTGGTGGTCGACGGCCGCCCCACCCGCTGAGGCTGCAGCAGCAGCAGCAGCAACGGCTGAAGCTGCTGCTGCTGCTGCACCCTTGCTGGCAGCAAAGGAGATGCTTCATGACGCGCAGCTGCAGCTCAAAGCAGCAGAGAGAGAACTTGCTAAGCGGCAGCAAACACATATACCGCTGCTGCTGCTGCAAGACCCTCAAAGCCACGTCCCTGCCGCCACCTACACAGCAGCAGCAAGCAGCAGCACCAGCAGCAGCAGCAGCAGCAGCAGCAGCAGCAGCAGCGAGGAGTGGTCTTATGAGTTTGTTGTTGAAGCTCGGCTCAACTGGCTGTCCTTTTTCAGGGTTTTGTTTGGGGAGTATCTGCACCTTTTTCTCGCGGGTATATCCGCTAACACTGCGCTGTTCCTGGGGCTAACATGTCTCATCATTTTCACAAAGGTCAGGCTGCTCAACCAGCAGCAGCAGCAGCAGCAGCAGCAGCAGCAGCAGCAGCAGCAGCAGCAGCAGCAGCAGCAACAGCAGCAGGAGCAGAATGCTGTGGGGGACGAAGGTCCTGGGTGTGGGGAGCGCATGCAAGGAGGAGTTATGCGTTTCCTGCTGATGCAGTTAAGGAGGTTGTTTGTGTGTGCGGTGTGGGCGTGTCGGCAAGCAGCAGCAGCAGCAGCAGCAGCAGCAGCAGGAACAGCAAAAGCAGTAGCAGCAGGATCGGTGCTGCGGACGAGCTCTTATCCCTTTGGAGTTTTCTGGGGCAATAAAGCAGCAGCAGCCTTGTACCTGCTGATGTGCTGCGGCAGCTGTCTCCTCTGCTGCTGTGTCTCTAAGGAGACACTGCAGCAGCTGCCACTTGTGGGGCCCCACATCTTCCCCCCTACGCCACCAACGGCGTTTACTCCGCTGCCGCTGCCGCTGCTGCTGCTGCTGCTGCTCTGGTGGTCTTCGTCACTTGTGCTTCTAGTGGTGCTGCGGGTCCTGGTGCTGCTGCTGCTCTGCATGCAGCACTTACAGGTACCCTTTCTTTCGTGCAGGCGGCGAGCAGCAACGAAAGCAGCAACGAAAGCAGCAGCAGCAGCAGCGGCAGCAGCAGCAGCAGCAGCAAGGCGAGCTTCGGGCATGATTGGTTGGCTCCGCTGCATCGGTGAATGGAGGCGCTGCCGTCTGTACACTCAAGGAAGGCGATTTACCCCTCTGTACATATCTGCTGGAGGCTTATCTGTTGCTGCTGCTGGTGCTGCTGCTGCTGCTAGCGAGGATGAGAAGGAGACAGAGCTGCAGCCAGCATCCGCCGTCTTAACTGTTTTGCCTTCCTTCTCTGTCTCCCCTAAGGCAGCAGCTGCCTCAGCAGCAGCAGCAGCAGCAGCAGCAACAGGTGCTGCTGCTGCTGCTTCTGATGCTGCAGCAGTAGCTGCTGCTGAGGAGGGGTCAGTCCCTGACGCTACCTGCTGCTGCAGCAGCAGTGACGGGGGAAGCGGCGTTTTGCTGATGCCTTCGTCGGGGAGCGACTCGTGCTGCAGCAGCAGCAGCATTTGCTGCTGCTGCAACAACGAGAAGGGCTTGAAAACAGCTGCTGCCCGCGCATGCGCAGCAGCTGGAACGTCGGCAGCAGCAGCAGCAGCAGCAGCGACAGCAGCAGCGACAGCAGCAGCAGCAGCGACGGCAGCAGCAGGGGGTGTGGATTCCGAGTGCTGTCGGTACAGTCCGCGTGCAGCAGCAGCAGCAGCAGCACCAACAACAACAGCAGCAACAACAACAACAAAAACAACAACAACAGCAGCAGCATCACGTCGGGGGGGCGGGTCGAGGCTCTGCTCCGCACGGCGAATATCTGCTGCTGCTGCTGCTGCGCTGCTGCTGGTTGCTGCTTTGATACCCTATCGGCTCGTCTTGCTGCTGCTGCCGCTTATTCTTGTTCTTTTCTTCCTTGAGTTAGGCTGCGACTGTGTAGCTGCGCGGCGGCCACGCTGCAGGCTGCATCCTAGCAGCAGCAGCAGCAGCAGCAGAAGACGCAGCAGAAGGCGCAACAGCACCTTAGGCAGCAGCAGCATAGCCACCAGCACCACCAATTGTAGCGACAGCCCCAGTGGCAGCAGCAGCAACAACTACAGCGGCAACAACTGCAGCAGCAGCGACACAAGCAGCAGCAGCAGCAGCAACAACAGCAGCAACACGAAGAACAGCAGCAGCAGGGTTGCTGCTATTTGCAGAGGGTGTGCGGTAGAGTGGGCTCTGCAACGCTGCCGCTTAGGTTGTTTAGCTGCGGTGTATGTGCAGCCCTTCTGGCTGCTGCTGCAGCTGTGGCTATGCGCTGGTTACGCTCTGCTGCGGATATTCAATCTTCACGTACAGACAGAGGAAGGCAAGAGCCTGGTGAGACTCTTTCTGCTGCTGCTGCTGCTGCTGCTGCTGCTGCTGCTGGTTCCGCTGCTGCTGTTGCTGCTGCCGCTGTTCCTGCTGCTGCTGATACTGCTGCTGCTGCGGCTGCGCCATTAAGCCCAGCGGAGAATGCTCTCACGTTCTGCTCTCGAAAGCAGCCGCTTACCCGCTGTTGCTGCTGCTGAAGCAGCAGCAGCAGCAGCAGCAGCAGCAGCAGTGGATGCATGCACAGCTGTCGGGGCGCCTGTTAGGGGCTTTGATGTCTTTGCTGTTGGTATTCGCGTCTTTGATTTATAATATGTCTCCTTGTGTATATTTCTGTCTCCTTTTCGTGAGCTGCTGATGCATTATATGTTTGTTTATTGCTTGAAGTTTTTATATTTGCTGGGTCTGCACACATGTCTCCTCTGTTTATTTAAGTGTCTCCTTTGCGGTGTATGCGCAGATCGCTGGGCCCGACGGTACTGTCAGTCATTTATTATCTTCTTCTGTTTTAGTTGGGCCCTCTTTAATGGATGCAGTAATACCGATTTTAGGTGTATATACAGCTGAGCTATTACCTGTGTCTCTGCAGCAGCTGCTACCCGATTGCATGCGATTTAGAAAGTCTTGGGGCATTACTCCTACACAAGATTATTTTGCTTTTATTTATTTCTTTTGTCTCCTTCCTATCTGTCTCTTTATTAGCCAGAGAGCAGGCATCATTGCTGCTGCTCTGCTGCTACCCTCTAACGAAGCAGCAAACAACTCCCGCAGCAAACCCTCAAAACGCAGCAGCAGCACAGCTGCAGCACTACATAAACGTGCTGCTGCTGCTCCAAGCAGCAGCAGCAACAGCAGCAGCAGCAATGGTGGCAGCAGCAACAGCAGCACCAGAAGCAACAGCGGCATCATCTGCAGCAGCAGATGCAACAGCAGCACGAACATCGCTGCACAAGAGTTCCAGCAGCAGCAGCAGCAACAGTTGCAGCAACAGCAGCAGCTAGAGCAGCAGCGCCACAGTGGACGAAGAAGAGGGTCTAGCTTTTGCTGCTTTACCTGCATGCAATATTTAGGTGTATGCGCAGCTCTGCAGGTGGGAGACACTTACACAAACAATTCTTCTGTAGATTATATATATAATATATATATATATATATATAATGTATATGTATATGTATATATATATAATGTATATATATAAGTATATATATGATATAATATATAAATATAAATATGTATACATATTATAAACATAAATCTGTAGATAGTATATCTTTATTCATATTTGTATGCCTATACTAAATATATATATATATATTATATATATTATGTATAAATATATACATATATATTATATAATATATATATATATATATAGATGTATATATTATACGTATGCATTTGTTTGTTAGTTTTATTTGCTTGTGTTTGTTTGTCTGCATTGGCGTGCTTGCTGCTGCTGCTGTTGTGTTTGTTTGTTTGTTTGTTTGTTTGTTTGTTTGTTTGTTTGTTTGTTTGTTTGTTTGTTTGTTTTTCTTCTGTCTCCTTTTGAATATGCGGTGTATGCACAGGTGTCTCTTGTGTGCAGCTAACTGTCTCCGTTTTGTTTGTCTCCTTTGCGGCGTCTGCGGCTCTTCACTCTGTCTTTCTTCTCGCTCTTAGCGTTATCATCCAGCTTTTGTTTTATCCTTTTTAAGCTCTTTTACCTATCTTCACCAACAGCAGCAGCAACAGCAGCAGCAACAGCAGCAGCAGCAGCAACAGCAGCAGCAGCAGGGTCTTCTATCGCAAGGGCGCGGAAGGAGGCCTCAACACCGCAGCTCAGGGCCCTTAACTTCATTTCTTTGTTGCAGTATGTGCAGCAGCAGCTGCTTGCTGTTGCTGCTGCTGCTCATTCAGCAGCAGCAGCTAAGCAACTGCAGCAGCAGCAGCAGTCGGTTAAGCGGCACAGCAACAGCATCAGACAGCAGCTGAGGCATCAGCTGAGACGGCAGCAGCAGCAACGGCAGCAGCAGCAGCAGCGGGCTCTATCTAAGAGCAGCACATTCAAATTCTGCACATGTGTTTATTTGGCTGTGGAGTAGCAGCAGGTGCTGCTGCAGCGGCAGACAGCAAAGAGCAGCACAAATGAACTAGCGACCTTTGTTGCTGCTGCTGCTGCGCCTGCTGCTGCTGCTGTTGAGGGTGCAGCAGCCACTACAACGACAGCTCTAGTAGCAACAGCCACGGCTGTGGCACCTGCTGCTGCTGCTGCTGCTGCTGCAGCAACAGGTGCCACAGCTGCTGCTGCTGCTGCTGCAGTTGGGCCGGCAGACGTAGCAGGTGGCGTTCATTGCATGCAGCAGCGTGAAGCATGTTAATATTTTGTTTTGTTGAAGACTCTGTCTTTTTGTTTTTCTAAGTAATCTCCAATACTGCTCTCAGCTCTCACAACCAGCACCCGCTAGCAGCAGCAGCAGCAGCAGCAGCAGCACCGGCAGTGGCAGCAACTGCTGCAGCGAAGACTGCAACTGTTACAAGGGACAGCACGCTCTTGCTACACCTGCTGCTGTTGCTGCTTCTGCTGCTGCATGGAGTTTAAAGCACGGAATGAGCTCTAAGTTCCTGTAGCTTCTGCTGCAGTTGCTGCTGCTGCTGCAGTTGCTGCTGCTGCTGCAGCTGCTGCTGTGGCTGGCTTTGTGACGAGAAGAGATTCAAAAATAAGAGACGTTGAGTGTTGCTGCGCTGCTGAGCAGCTAGCTAGCTGCTGGTAGCTAGCTGGCTAGCCACACACACCAGCATGTACAGCCTGCGGTGTACAGACACCTCAACTCGCGCTCCCACTTCCACTACCCCCGCAGCACACTGCGCTGCCTTCCGAATAAAAAGAGCTCAGCTGCGCGTACAGCAGCAGCAGCAGCTGCTGCTGCTGGTGCTGCTGTATGCTGATGCTGCTGCTGCTGCTGCTGTACGCTGCTGGTGTATGCTGCTGCTGCTGCTGCCGCTGTACGCTGCTGCTGTATGCTGCTGCTGCTGCTGCTGCACTACCTAGTGGCGCGGCACTGCCGCAAGCCTCCCGCATGCAGCCCCTTAATGCCTTCTTCCTGCTGCAGCAGTGTCTGCCTACGAAGCAGCAGGTGCTGCAGGAGGAGGGGCTGGCGGCGTTGCTGGTGCAGCCGCGTCGCTGCTGCTGCTGCTGCTGGTGCGGACGAGGAAATCTGCTGCATAACTCGGTGAGAGGTTGAAGGAGGGCCCCTGCTGCAGCGGCAGCTGCCTGGGGGCCCTCTGCTCCCTATACACCCCAATGCCTGTGACAGTGCGCAGAGGCACCATCACAGGTACTACGCCAGCCCTTCTCCTACCTGTTGCTGCTGCTGCTGCTGCTGCTGCTGTGGCTGATGCTGCTGCTGCTGGTGCTGCTGGTGTTGTTGCTGCTGCGGAAGCTGCAGCCAAAGGAGGGCTGCTCGCGCAACCACCACCTGCGCCCCCAGGCTTCTCTGCAGACACTGCAGCAGCAGCATGGGGCGTTGCTGCTGCACCTGGCTGCTGCTGCTGTTGCTGCTGCTGCTGCTCTGGGCCCTGATAGAGCGCCTCCACTTGGCGCTGAAAGAAAGCGGCAGTGCGCCGTGCGACCTGAAGAATTGCAACAGCAGCAGCAGCAGCAGCAATATAGAGATATACAAAGTGCATTTACACACAAATATATATATATATAATTAGTATAGAGGCAATGCACTGGTTTGCAGGCTCCAGCAGCAAACAAAGAAGAGAGACAAAAGAAAAGCAGAGGGAGGAGATACACCCCAAACAAACAAACAAACACAAACAATGTTGCTGCCTCCTCTATACTCTATCTCCTGTGCTGCTGCTGCTGCTGCTGCTGCTCTTGCTGCTGCTGCTGCTGCTGAGCAGTGGTCGCCTCACCTCTGCTGCAGCTGGCAAAGGCCGTTCGTCCTCCGATGCTGCAGCAACGCAGCAGCACATCAGCAGCAACACCAGTTTAAGAAGCAGCACCACCAGCAGCAGCAACTCAGTCAACAGCAGCACCAATCTTTTCTACAGAAGTAGCAGCAGCAACTCTGTGAATAGCAACAGCAGCAGCACTAGCAGCAAATCTGTCAAAACGGTAGCTGCAGCAACCGCAGCAAATCTGTCAAAACAGCAGCACTAGCAACAGCAACAGCAACAGCAGCAGCAGCAGCAGCAGCATCACTCGCTGGTTCTTCTCGGCGGCGCCTATTCGATGGGGGCCCCTCTTCTGCTTCTGCGTGCCGCCTCCGCACTGCTGGGGGCCCGCGCCTCCCCAACCGATTCCTACCACTGCCTGCTGCTGCTGCTGCTGCTGCTGCTGCTGTTGCTGCTGGAGAAGATGAGTCAGAGGCGCCGGAGGCGCGGCTGCTGCGACGGAGGGAGGAGACAGTCCGCCCCCACGACTCCAGCACGCGACGCACCAATTGCTGCAGCAGCAGCAACAGCAACAGCAGCAGCAGCAGTAAGCATAGCCCACCTATAAAGCCTCTCCAGAAGCAGGAACGGCAACCAGCAGCAGCAGCAGCAGCAGTAAACTGAGCCCACGGATGAAGTTTTTCTAGAGGCAGCAAGCAATAGCATCCAGCAGCAGCAGTAGCAGCAGCAGCAGCAGCAAGCAGCAGCTTACCCCTACGACACCCTGTGATGCCTCATCTCCAGCTGCCTCAGTGGCGCTTGCAGGTTGTCGTCGGCCTCTAAGGCTTCTTGCGTGCTGCCGCCGCTGCTGCTGCTGCTGCTGTTGCTGCTGCTGCTGCTGCTGCTGGCTGTCTGTGCTGGTGGAGGAGGTGTCTCCTGAAGAGACGGTCTCGATGGAGACAACAGATTCAGAAGAAGACGGCAGATCCCGCTGAAAGACATGCGCGCACTTTTGCTGCAGCAGCAGCAGCAGCAGCAGCAACAGCAGCAGCAAACAGCAGCACCACAGGGGAGTCATATAGTAACCTCCAGCAACAGACAGAACAACGGTGGCAGCAGCAGAAACAGCGAATTTTAAAGCAGCAGCACAAGGGAACATCACAACCCAAAGCAGCAGCAGCAGCAGCAGCAGCAGACTGAACAGCAGTGGCGTGCAAATTTGCTGCATAGCAGCCCCTAAGGCCCCCATACACTTAAACCCGCAGCAGAAGAGCACCCACCCACGCACGCACGCATGCATGCATGCAGAGAAAGCCCCAACGCATGCATGCATGCAGAGAAAGCCCCAACGCATGCATGCATGCAAAGAATACCCGAACGCATGTATGCAGAGAAAGCCCCAACGCATGCATATATGCATGCATGCATGCATGCATGCATGCAGAGAAAGCCCCACCACGTCTAGGAGTTCGCGAGTTGCGCCGTGGTATGCGGCGATGTATGAAAAGACAGCTTTGCATAAGGGGCAAGATGTCTCCCGCTGCGCCCACACCTGGCAGCAGCAGCAGCAGCAGCAGCAACAGCAACAGCAGCAGCAGAAGCAGCAGGAAATGCAGCAGCGGGAAGCGCAGAAGCGGCTGCAGCAGCAGCTGCATTATCAACAGCAACACAGCTACCGCAAGCAACAACGGCAAGAGCAGCAGCAGCAACAGCAGCAGCAGCGGCAGCAGCAGATTTACCTGAATGCAGCGCAGGTGGAAGCAATGGCTGCATGCATCGATTCGAGCAAGAGGGGGAGGAGGTGTGGGGCCAGCTGCTGCTTCCTTAGCAGCTGCTGCTGCTGTCTCTTTAGACAGCTGCTGCTGCCGGCACCCGTTTGCTGCTGCAGGGGCCCCCGAGGGGCCCCCTGCGAGGCCCCGAGGAGACACCTCGCTGCGTGACATTTCTACTGTCTCTTCTGTCTCTTCGCTGGGAAGCAACCCGTCCAGACAGCACCCTGCAGCAGCAGCAGCAGCAGCAGCAAAGCAGCAGCAACAGCACAGTGAGGGGAACGCACGCATTCCTGTGAAGCCACAGTAGAGCAGCAGACAAGCTTGTCCCTGTTGTTGCTGCTCCTGCTGCTGCTGTTGCTGTTTCTCCTGCTGCTGCTGCTGCTGCTGCTGTTGTTGCTGCTGCTGCACTTACCGCAGGAGAGCTCCTGAAGCTCTGCTTCTGTAGCAGCAAAACAGCTAAATTTGCAGCGGAGGGCCTCAGCACCCCGCAGTCTCCTTTCTCTCCGCGGGGGGGCAGTCAGGTGTCCCCTTCGCCCTGAAGCTTGGCTGCTGCTGTCTCCTGCTGCTGCTGCTGCTGGAGCTGCTGCTGCTGCTGCTGATGTGGGAGCTGTGGTGGTGCCCGTCGACGTCCCGTCTGCTTCTGGGCCCGCTCCTGCTGCAGCAGCAGCAGCTGCTGCTGCTGCTGCTGCTGTTGCTGTTGCTGTTTGCTGTCTACGCTGCCGAGAGGGCCCTGCCCTGGACCTATGGGAGCCTACAGGGGTGGTCTGCAGCTCAGGTGCAGCAGCAGCAGCAGCAGCAGCAGCGGCTGCTGCTGCTGCTGTTTCTCGGCGCCTCCGCTGCTGCCTCTCGTTTCGAGTGCCGGTACTGCTGGGGGCTGCAGTTGTTGCTGCTGCATCTTCACCATCAGCAGCAGCAACAGCAGCAGCATCCCTCACTCGGCGTCCCCTCGGTTGCGTCTGCTGCTGCGGAGCAGCAGTAGCAGCAGCAGCACCAGCATCAGCAGCAGCAGCTGTCCTTTGAGCCTTCGAGGGGCCCCTCCCCCGCCTTCTCTCAGGGGCCCCAGCCCTAAGGGGCCCCCCCCCCCTCATTGCAACGCGCGAAGCCCTGCAGCAGCCTCTAGAAGAGTTCAAGAGGCTGCTGGATGCATGCACAGCGTTGGGCATAGTGCTGCTGCTGCTGTTGCTGCTGCTGCTGCTGCTGCTGCTGTTGCAGCTGCTGCTGCACTCAGGGCCAAGCGAATGCCCCACCAGCGATGCCCCTGGGGAGCCTGTACCTTCCTTTTAAGTTGCTTTTGAAGAGAGAGCAGCAGCAGCAGCAGCAGCAGCGGGAGCAGCAGCAGAAACAAGGGGCCCCCCGTTGCTGTTGAAGTGGAGAGCAGCAGGCGTCTTCGGGTCAATCGGCTGCTCCGCCATCTGCAGCGCGTCCCTACCGCATGCAAACAGCAGCAAAGCCCCTAACAAGAGCAGCAGGGCAGCGCAGCAGGAGCAGCAGCAATGAGTGCAGCAGCTGCTGCTGCGGTGAACGCTCAGCTAATGAGTTTCAGTAGGGGCGAGGGGCCCCTCTTAAGGAAGGCATGTCGCATGCAGTATATAAAAACAAATTATATTAAACGCAGAGAAAGAATGAGCAGGGTGTTGAGGGCCCCTCTGTGTAGCTGCTGCTGCTGCTGCACAGGCTGCTGCTGCTGTGCTGCTGCCCACTGAGCTGCTGCAGCAGAGTTCAGCTAATAAAAAATGCAAATAAATAAACAGAAAACCAAAGACGTGAGAATAAATACACGAAAAGAAACAGAAGGAGAGAACAACAACAACAACAGCAGCAGCAGCAGCAGCAGCAACAGAGAGGAGCAGCAGCTCCTTAGGCACACGCAGCTGGGGGGCCTTTTGCTGCAGCAGCAGCAGTAGCAGCAACAGCAGCAGCAGAAGGCTGTTTGGTGTTTATTGCTGCCTTTTAATGCTATTGAATGATATAAAAATAATAAACAAACAATAAGACGAAGAAAGCTTTAGAGACAGAGAAGACCTTAGCAGGGCCTCTGGGGGCCCCCCTACTGTAGGGGGGCCCCTTATCTTTTGCTGCTTTGTTTGATTGTTAGTTCTTATTCTTTATTTGTTTTATTTATTTAATTTATTTTATTTTATTTTATTTTATTTTATTTGTTTTTCGTCTTCTTCTCTGCTTGCTTGTCTCTTTCTCCTTCTTACGGTGTATGTGTTAGTTAAGGGTGGTGTATGATATACATTATTATTATTATTATTATTATATATATTTATATATATATTTATTTATTTTGTTTGATTTAATATTTGCTTATTTATTCTTAATTGGTTGTATCGTCTTAGACGGCTCTTCTTTCTCATCTGCAAGCAAATACAACAAAGTACGATTATCTTAATAATATTTATTTATATTATTTAATTAGACTTCATAAAGGAGACAGCTCTTAACTAGGCGTCTCTCTGCTTCTCTGTGTTTGGGGGCTGTTCGCATCAGAACGCAACTCCAGTAGCAGCAGCAGCAACAGCAACAGCAGCAGCAACAGCAACAGCAGCAGCAACAGCAACAGCAGCAGCAACAGCAGCAGCAGCAACAGCAGCAGCTCTGCATGCGACGCAGCTCAGGAGCAAGCCTCTGTGTCTGCCTTTTTATGCAAAAGAATTTGTTTCTGTCTACAGAAACAAAATA